AGGCCCTCTTCCAGCCACAGGTGGGAAGCTAGGCTGCCCTTGCTTGAGGGGGGATAGTGGAGGGCTGCCCACATGGCATGCGCAGCTGGGGGTGGGGCTGTAAGAGTGGCAGGGGGATGCACTGGGCAGCCCATGTGGAACTTATGGCTTGCAGAACCTCAAATTCTTTTGAGGTGCTGTGAAATGCATGTGGTACTCATGAGTCTATTCACCATGCTTTATATTTGCAGTGCAGTGCCAAATTAGATACTGGGAAACCCCAGTATTAAAAAAACCTGCAGCAGAAAAAATAAGGCATCTGAATAAGCTCCTGAAGGAATTTGGATGCATAACTTATTGTAATAAAAAACTTAGTCAATGAATTTCAAGTTAATGTAATTACCAAGTCTACCTTTAGAAAGATATTGTACTATGGGCAATTTAAAATTAGGATTTGAGATAAAACTTAGGTCTGAGAACATCACATTTCTGTAAATATTATGCAACCAATGAGAGAGTCATAAAAGACTATGAGTTGCAGAATAAAAAAACAGACATTCCCCAGTAAAATAGATGGACTAATATACTAAGTAGACAATCCTAAAAATTCCTCTTTACCTGGCAGTCACCTGATGCTTTTAGTTAATACTGTACATGAATAAATTATTACATGACAAATTTGCAAGCTTGGATCCCACTTCAACAAAAACATACATCCATTTGGAAAAGTCTCTGTTTACCCACTATGCAATAAAAAAATAAATCAAAATTAGACATTATAACTAACTAAACAGTTAGCTTCCAGCAATATGGATTCTCAATAGTTTACTATTTGAAGTAAGCTTGTTACTCCATACAACAAATAAAGATATACAAAAGCTAGAATATTCTCAAGTTGTAATCTATACCAGAAATTTCAGCTATGGTGTATCCTATATGTCATTTGCCTCTCAAATTTTGTTCCTTTACACATTTATATTCATAGCAAGGCCCAAAGGGACCATTACCATCATTCAACCTAACATTTGGTTTAAGACAAGCCATTACATTTCACCCAATAATACCTGCTTAAACTCTAACTTGCAACTAAGCTAAAACGTTTTTCGACTTAGGCTTCAAGTGACAGCAAATCCACCCCACCCTTTGGCAAGTCATTCTGATGGACACAGACCTTTCTAATACCAAAACATTACTTCTGGCCTGAACAAGCTTCAGCTTCTGGCTCTTGAAACTTTGCATTTTATCTCAGCTAGGAGAACTGTTCTGGGGAATCTAGAGCCGCATATAGAGATACTGTTACTCACTGTCTCAGTAATCTAAGAGATCCAACTTCTTAGCCTCTTTAATTCCTTCTATTGCTGACCACTTCCCTGAGTTTCAGGTCAAAGTTTTGTTCAATAATCAAACTTAACCCTTTCCAGAAAGTAAATGGCTGATTACTAACAGTCAATTAGCATCAAACTAAAAGTCTGGTGGATAAAAATTAGGTGAAATGTCTAAAAGAAAGCTTTCTTGTATAAAACTGTACCACTGACCAAAATGAAGTGCAGTGGGCAGTCACTCCATGCACCATGCCTGGTTTTTTAAAGTTCTTTGGGAATAATTAACAGCACCTTCCAAAACAGGTTGAACTGCACTTTGCTGTGTTGTCAATGGAACCCAGATAAGGAGATGCCATGAATTTCAGAAAAGCCTTCGCTACTGCACTTCTATAGCACTGCCTATCTGAAAAATGCACGTGCAACATATTAAGCAACATCAGAGAAGCAGACCACTGCATCTCAAGTGAGCTCACTCAAGATGAAGTGAAGTTTGTCACTGCTTCTTTATTCCCCCCAGCAGCTGATGCTCACAAAAGCAGGGCTGCGAGATCGCGGGGCTGCTCACGCCGCTCACAGCGCTCACCTGTTCCCCCTCAAGTGTCTGCAACATCCCACAACCCGCCCTACCTGGGGCATAGAGAGGGGTGAGGCGAGGACAGGGTGAAGCTGGGCTCCCTGCACCACCACCCGGCTTTGTCACTTTACGGCAGAAACCGGAGATGGTTCAATGCCACCGCCCAGCCCGCAGCACTCAAGGCAGGGCAGGAGAGCAGGTTTCCATGGGGATGCGGTCACCGTGCCCGGCAGGAACCAACAGGCGCCCCCAGGTGCGGCACCCAGGCGGGCAATGCCAGTCCGCTGCCTCGACCCTGCAGGGCTCCCAGCACGGACCGGCCGCGGGAGACACGCGGGAACGCGGCTTCGGCTCCTGGAGCCACCGGCGGCCGCAGAGGAGCGCGAAGCCAACCCCCCCGGCCCGGCCCGGCCCGGTACTCACAGTCTCTCGGCGCTCCGGGGCACGTCCCTCGGCACGGCTCGCAGCCCCAGGCCGTGGCAGTCCACGGCGGCGGCGCTGCAGGTACACTTGTGCGGGCAGCCGGCCGCGCGGCCCCACACGCTCAGCGCCAGCCCCACGCACAGAAAGGCTCCGGGCACCATGGTCTCCGGCGGGACAGCGGCTCCGGCGAGCGGGGGACGTCCCGCCACCGCTCAGGGCAGCGCGGCGCCCACCATCCCCGCTCCGCCGCCGCGGCTCACACGGGCGCCGGCCGG